AATAAGTTTCTATATATAGAACTTATTAAAAGGTATCATGACTCTTCTCTAGTAAGTTATTTTATAGATACTAGAACTCATGAGTTACTTGTAAGAAAATACTTCTAACTGAAGATATAAGAACTTATGAAGAAGATAGTGAATTCTTATACTGTTTATCAGAGTTCATGAGTAATACAGTTCAGATTATATAAAGAACTTACTTCTCTACTCATTCTGTAGAAACCTTGAAAACAGCTAGAAATGAATACTCTTATAAGTCTCTCTGAAAGCAAGAATGTATATAATATCTGCTTTAACAGTGTGCTGATGATAGTGAATTACTTTATCAAGATAATATACTTTATATTCATCTGCAAAAACTTGAAGTCAAAGAATTTAACTTATATCTTTATTCATAATATAATCTGATTGTATGAATTATCTATAAATATTATCTCAGATAGAGAATCAATCTTTGTAGAAGAGTTCTGATCTAATCTGATAATTATACTGAAGATCTTATAAGATCTAAGCACAGCTTTTCATCAACAGATAGATAATCAGATAGAATATCTGATAAATATATTAAAACAGTATCTGCAGTGCTTTATCAATTACAATCAGAATGACTTAGTGTATTAATTATCACTTATAAAGTTCATATATAACAACTCAAAGCATGTCAGCACAGATAAAACCTTCTTTGAGATACTTACTAAGACTTATTCATGAATAATCTTGATAAATCTGTGAGAGTACACTATAGAGTGTGATGATACTTATGAATGAACTGAGAGAATTCAGAAAATCCGAGAGAAAGTCTGTAAATTCTTGAGAAAGTCTCAAGAGTATCAGAAGAGATACTATGACTTTAAGCATATTATAAAGAGTTTTAAGAAAGATGATAGAGTCTGACTAAGTCTAGAAAACATTATTATACAGAGATCTAGTAAGAAGCTGAATCTCTTGTGAACAGAGTCTTATAAGATTGTGAAGAAAGTTAGCTTATAGTTCTATAAATTGAAACTGCTATCTAAGTTACAGATATACAATGTTTTTCATATCTCTTTACTCTGTAAATATAAGAAATTCTTAGAAAAGAACTCTGTGACTCATTACTCTGTCTATGAAGTACTAGAGAGTGAAAGAGAATATCAGATCAAAGAGATTATTAACTTAGAGAAGTGAGATTATGAGCTCTGATTCAAGGTTCAGTGATAAGAGTATTCTGATAAGATGAATAAGTTTACTTAAAAATCATCTGAGTAGATAAGATATCTACAGAAGTTAAGATATAACTTTTATACTGTGAATTCTGATAAGTCAGAATAATGCAGTCTTCACTAAGAATCTGATTATAATAAAGATATTAACACTGTTATTTATAAATTCTAATCTATAAGATAATAAGTTTCTACTGAAATGAATAGTCTGCAGTGTATATAAGAAAAGAAGAAATCATATTCTTATTAAAGCTAAAAAATAAGAAAATAAACAGAATTACAAACATAATTTAGAGATTAATAAAGAAAAAATAAAGAAAATTTATACTTATACTCTCAATATCTGTAACACTTAACTTCTCTATAACTATTAATTTTCTTCTTCAAAGAAGCAGAGAGTATTATACTCATGATACAGATAATTATTGTATTTAATATAAAGATTATCAGAAATGCACAGACTTCAGAGAAGCTGAACATCAGAATATATACAGTTATAGCAGAATATTAAGAACTAATTATCTGTATGTATAATCAGATACTTCTTATAAAGCTGTGTTCACTCTCTCAGTTATACTGAAGTATTCAGCCTGGAAACAATTGAGATATAAAGAGAGAGCTCATCTGTTCAGATTAACTTCTATCATAAATTTATAGTATTTATATTATCTTAATTATCTGAATTTTATAAGTATCTGAGAACTCATCACTTATTAATAATGAAATTGTGAAAATGTGCTGCAGTGTGAGAATCATTAATAAGAAACCTAGACATATTTGCATATATCTGATCAGAGATTGTGTGAGTAGAGAGAGAGTGATTATAGGCCTGTGAGATCACAGAAGACACTGACAACACTGAGAGCTTTGTAAGAACTGTTAGCTAGAATCTGTAAGAAATTACTTATGAGAAGACTTACAGCAAAGAGAGAGACTGCACTACTTAGAGTCAGAGACTGATCTGAGAAAGACATGAGATTGATTACTGGCCTGAACATCAGATGTGATGACAGAACTGAGAAAGATGAAGATACAGTTATAAGTGACAGTGTTCCTGCTTCATCAGCTGATAAAAAGTAATCAGAGAAGTTATGAAAACACTTATAAGAAGCTCAGCAGTGATCAGACATTATTTATAAAGATATTGAAATTGAAAAAATTTTTATTCTTGAGAAGTTCTTGAATTAATATGCAGATATTATTAGAAATACTCTCTCTCTATTATCTGAGTGAAAATACTTCATAGATGAATAAAGATACTCATAGTTTATAAGAATGAGAGCTGTTACAGAAAAAGAAAAAAGAAGATGAGATTTCATGAACAGATCTGAGATATTTATACTACTCTAGAGAGATTTACTTACACTGTGAGTAATTCTGTGAAACAGTCAGATCACTCTAGTAAATAAGAGTGATTATGAATCACAGGCCTGAATCTTTCTATATAACTATAAAGAGTAATTACAGACTGTGAATATCTTGATTCTATAATTCTACAGAGTTGATGAAAGAATGAAAAATTTCTTATAATTCTACAGTGTCAAAGAACAATAATTCATGAGAATGAGTGAAAGATTAACTTACAAATGCTTCTCTTTAATAAAGATAATCTCACAGAGAGTGATTCATCTATGAGATGAATCTGTATAATAATTACATAAGAATCTCATAGAAATGATTGAGAGTCAACTGAAATTCTTCTGTATAAAAGATATGAGATGAATCTGTATAATAGTCAGAGAAGAATCTGTAGATTATAAAGAATCTTATAAAATAAGAAACTAAGTGACAGACTCTTTTCTCTTTATAATAATAAGAGATTTTTTCTCACTGAGATTTTTTATAGATATGAAGAATTTTTAGTGAGTATTACTGCAGTGCTGAGCTGATTCTATGAAGTCACTCAGTGAAAGGCTACACAGACAAAGTCTTAGAGAGGAAGAAATATGTAAGAAATTCTGCTTCTTATGAATTCTTTATCTCTATTTCTATCTCTTACATAACTAATAGACCTAGCGGCTCTTGACTACACACAACTAGACTGACCGTGTGACCGTGTCTGAGACCAGGATCAAACTTTACAGTTGTCACGTTGCCTAAAAGCATTACTCCTGATCATGGTTTGTGTTCATCAGATTGATTTCAAATCATGTTATTTTAACTATTAAAGATTTCAGATTCACTTTTCAAATAAAAATCTAGTCTCAGATAAAGAATATGTTTGAATTCTTAGTCACATTTTCATTCTGATCTCATTATTGAGAATGACATCAAATGAGACTATGAAATCACTTCTCACTTACATAATATCATAACATAGTACTCATTTGTTGAAAATTCAATAGAGAGTGTTATCAAATATCATTACTTTTCTAAACACAGATCATAATTCATATAATTTTAATTATGAAAAAAACATAAAATACAAAAAAAAATAAAAAATAAAAAACAAAATAAACACAAGAAAAAATCACATTAAAAAAAAAAAAAAGAAAAGAAAAAGAAAAAAATAAAAAATAAAAACAATAAAAATCAAGATTGCAGAGCTGCAGCATCTTTAAAATACTCACTTCTCAGAGTCTTTGTAATATTCATTATCAACTGTGTATCTCTCACAGTGAGAGTAACACAGCTGTGATGAGTCATTGTCTTAACATTATCTAATAAATAATCAGTATATATCTGTATAAATGTGAATAATTAGAAAACATACACTTAAAAAGTGTGATCAGGGTGAACTCTGCTGTCACTTAAATGACATCAAGAATAGAATACTGAAATTGATGATTTCTCTCATTGATTTCATGAATAAGACATGTGAAGATGATCTTGAGAAATATAAGATTCTCTGACTTCTGATAAAAACAGATCTCATGAAGAGACTCTATTTTCATGATATCAGAGACTGAGTGTTATTAAAAAGTGTTACTTTCATGCAATGCATATACACTTACTGTAGTGATTCACTCTCTGTATATGTGGCTGAGAGTTGCAGCTTTCTCACACTGCACAGCTCTTTCTGAGATGCTGTTATTAGTTTGCAACTCACACAGTCTCTCAGTTCAGCATGCACTGTGTGTATACAGCTCTGTATACTGAGGCTGTGTTGGCCATTATGGCCTGGCGTGATACTCGCTTTTCGCGAGCCATGTTTTGTTTGAGAGAGAGGGAGAGAAGATGCAACTGTTATTTTATTGAGAGAAGAATGAATAATTAGTATTATTGAATTAATTTAGTTCATCTGCATTTAAAATTTGATTAGTTTATACTCTTCAATTTAAGGGTTTCTATGAGTGTTTTAATAGTTTTCATATCAGCTTGAACTTAGTGATGGATTGAAGAAGAAGAGAAAAGAGAGAAGAAAGAAATGAGAATAACTTATCTTTATAATATGAAAACAGAGAATCACTGCAATCATTCTTTCTAGCAATAAAGATCTGTTTTCTGCATGTATCTCTGATATAGATTATATGATAAATGTATACAAAGAATATCAATAGTGCATGCATTGAATGAAGATAATGTTGCTATGCAACACTGTAGCTGTTTCTATACATCTCTGAAAGCTGTTAATAGTTTCTTTGTCTCTTTATATTTGATAAGTCAATAATATATTCCGATACACTCTCTCTTTCATCATCATTATCATTATCATCATCATCATCATCATCATTATCATCATCATCATTATCATCATCACTATCATCATCATCATTATCATCATCATCATCATCATTATTATTATTATATCATTGCCTGCCTTTACTTCCTCTTCAATACTCATTAAAATCAATCATGTCATTTCTCTTCAAATATTCTGCGGTCCTGTGGATCACTAAGGCGCGTGAGCGCTGTCACAGATTGAAGGGAGAGAAGAAGAAGATGTTCAAGCACAGGGAGACAGATTGTAAGGCATATTATGATATCTTGAAGAGACTCTGTAAGAGAGTAGAATAATAACAATTTTAAGTAATGCTTCTGATAGATTTAGACTGAACTAAGTATAGAAATAATGTGAATGACACTGTCTGTGAGAGATTGAAAAAGAAGATAGTGAAGAGTCTCATACAGCAGTGATGAGACTAGAAGAAGTCCTGAGAATGATTTGAGGTCAAGATGAAGAGAGAGAGAGAGAAGAAGAGTATTACTGTAAATAAGCAGTGACAGAAGAAGATTGAGAAGATATTGAAGCAGAAGACAAAGAAGTCAAAACTGATAAGTTTTTTATTGAGAGATAATGATTTTTGATAACACTTCTATTCTCTAATTAATTAGCAGAAGCTGGCAGAGGAGAAGAAGATTGAGGTCTTATTCAGGTCTCAAATGCACTCCATGATTCAGGACATTGAGGAGACAGCTCTGCTCTCTGAGCATGTCAATCTGCTTGCTGCTGAGGTGAAACCTGAGACAGCAGACCAGGAAATGCAGGATTTTGAGGTGCAGATTGACCTGACTGAGAGAAAGCAGCAGAAACCCTTCTCTGAGAAGGTAGCAGAGAGAGATTTTGAGGTGATTATCATCTCAGATGAGGAGAAGAAGAAGAAGAAGAAGAAGAAGAAGAAGAATGAGAAGTGAATTATGAAGAATGATAAGAAGAATAAGAAAGAGAAGAAGTAGATTTTTTTCTTTTTATATTAGTTAGTTGTAAGTTTAAGTTTTTAATTATTAATAATTAAAATTGATTTTAAGTTTTCAAAAATTATTGTACAAGTTGTAATCAAGTCAGGAATGATATATATATATATATATATTTAACTATCATGATTCACAAATCACTATAATGTATAAGTATCAACATTTTTTCAACATTGATATTTATAATATTAATATATTTTTAATGATATTATCTGATAATGTAATTTGATAACACTCTCTTTCACAATATTAATATATTTCAAGAAATATGACAGAGATTAATCAAGATTGTTTATTTACTTTTATACATCAATGATATTCAATCTGAGTTAGTACTAAAATTATAACTAAGCTAAGAAATAAGATTATTTTCTCTTATATTAATTCTTCTTACACACATCAGTGATCAGTTATTGAAAATAAATTGTCATCTTTCTCAAATTATTATTATATCTTCTGAATTCACTTCTTTTACTTCTTTTACTTCTATTAAAGATTCACAAACTCTTCAAGAAATCACTGTGAATCACAAAGTCTACATTATTTACAATTCAACACAGAATGCTCTCTTTCAATCATGATGAATAATCACTTCATTCTTCACATCTGATTTCAGGTCATGAAATTTATGAAAAACTCAACATAAATATTGAGATGAACTATGAAATAATTATCAACAGATTGTATTGCAGATTACTGAAGAGTTATCTCTTTACTATAATCACTGCAACTTTATTCAGAAACATTCATTATAAACTGATCATGACTCTGAAGAAATTTCTCAACATCTGAAGTCATCAGAATGCAGATAATAAAAGAAAAATAATCAGAAAATTACTACTGAGCTGGTAAGTTGCTCTATCAGATAACAATTTTTGATAATACTAACTTTCTAATTTGAAGAAAATCATGTGAAAACAACTCTGTATCAGTACTCTGATTTCACAACTCTCATCTGATAACTTCTGTGAATAATTACTTCACATATATATATCTCTGAATCTTTCTCTTCAATCAATTGAAAACTCTGAATTTCAAACACTTCTTCAAATGCTTAATTCAAATCTTCATATTTCATATCAATTCTGTCTTCAGTTCAATCTTGAGATACACTACAAAGTTAATATGTAACATCTAGAATCAGAGTTGAAGAATCATTAAAGAGTATCTCTCACAGTGAATGCATGAACTAGTATAAACAATCTTGCATTTATAAGAGTTACATGTTATTACATTGATGAGAACTGAACTTATTGAGAGATATTAATTGAATTTGAATCATTGATCAGTAGTCATACTGAGGATTATATGACAGAGATATTAATGACTGTGATTAAAAATGACTATTAGAATATTAGTCTCAGTCTTCTTACAATTACAACTGATAATGCTGTGAATAACTACACTATGATGAAGAGCTTGAAGCAAAAATTGGCTTTGCATTCCTGAAATGATAAACAAGGTCATATTCCCTGCATTGCTCATATGATTCAACTTGTGATGCAAACACTGATAAAGAATCTTAACATCAAGATGAAGAATAATGAGATGACTGATTCTTGAGATGAGAATGAGATAAAAGTGATTACTCAAGTAACTTTTGCATTCACTTTGCAAAAGATAATGTTTTTTGACAACACTTTTTAATATTGCTTTTTGATAATGCTTTTTAATAATGCTACTGTTAATTTTGAATAGATTGACTAATAATTTAAATATCATAGATTTGAAACATTGCTAATGCAATTTGTACCTCTTCTAAACAACAACAATGATTTCATGATATTCAATAAACAAACAAATCAGTCACATCACTGAATATGATACAGAATGTTAGAACACAGTGAAGTTCAATATATGAGATAGCTGTTCAGACTCTTTGATTGCATCAGATAATTGATCATTGAGTGCAACACTCTGATTGAGAAAAGATTCAGATATTGAAACTTTCTGATATGAAGTGAACTCAGTTGAAATATGTAATTGATTTACTGTTTCAGTTTTATAAGACAATAAAGACAGTCTCAATCACTTGTACACCAATGCTGCAGTCAGTCTGATAAGTGTATAACAGTTTATTTACTCATCTTAAGAAGCAGTTGAATCACTTAAAAAGAAATTCAGTCTGAGATAATACTATAGTGCAGGCTATTATTGCTGTAAGGAATAAACTGACATATTACTACAGCAAAATGAAACAATCTTTTGCAGAGTACTATACTATAGCAGCTCTACTAGATCTCTTCTGTTGAGTTAATATCTACACTTCTCAAGATTGAACAGAGAAGAAATGAGACTCATATATCAAATTAGCCTGAGACTACTACAATGTCAACTATCAGAGATTTGAATAAGCAGATATTCAAGATGTGAAGACAGTGAAATACAATTCTCTAGTAAGTAACAATCTTTGATAATACTTCATATCATATAGAACTATAATACTAACTTTGAAACAGAACTTGCATACATTGATTGCAACTGAAAATCAGACAAAACTACATGCTTGTAAAACTGAATTTGATCACTATCTTCAAGATGATTCAATGAATTTACATGCTAAATCAATTCTAGAGTTATGAAAAATTGTTGAGAGTATATATTCAACTATTGCACTGATGATGCATGATATTCTGACAATTTCATTAACAGAGATGAAAATGAAGTGAAAGTTCAACTCAAGTTGAGATATTTATCACTATTACTGAGGACAATTACAAGAAGAAATAATCAAGAAACTCATGATTATAAAACATGAAATTATCAGACAGTTTAATACCTCTGATCACAGTATATCAGAGAAGTGTAGTTTTCATAAGAAAGTGAAGAATAAACTTGTACAAGAATGTATTTAGTTATTTCATGAGTGTTATCAATAATTGTTATCAAATTCTGATTATATAAGCAATCACTGAATGAACTGAATGAGACTGATTTTGATCTTCAGTCTCAGTCTCATTCTGATTTTGAAAGAATGATCATCTTTCACAGTTTATTCTGGAAAATTACTCTCATTTCACTGTTCTTGAATTAAATCTGATCATTTTTCACATCATTTCTCTCAGAAATGGTCCATTTTCAGATTTTTTTGAGGCTTGGTCCTGATGGGACTCACGCCAAGAAATGTATGAGACCAGACCAAATGGGATCAAATGTGAAATTCATGGTCCCGCCGGCCAGTCTACACACAACTATATAGACTGAAGTTCATGAATACTATTCATAACTCAGCTTGAATGCTATTATACATTTGATCTCTACATTTTATCTTTCTATCATGAATACTTCTAGTAGTTAACAGTACATATCACGCCAAGCTGCAAACACCTGAATAATCGCCTGCCAGCACTTATTCTTACACATTTAATCTCATTTAGCCTGATCTCATACATTTCTTGACGTGAGTCTTATTAGAATCAAGTATTAAAAAAATCTGAAAATGAATTATTTCTGAGAGAAATAATGTGAAAAATGATCAGATTTAATACAAGAATAGTGAAATAAGAGTAATTTCTCAGAATAAACTGTGAAAGATAATCATTCTTTCAATATCAGAATAAGACTGAGACTGAAGATTAAATTCAGTCTTATTCAGTTTATTTAGTGATTACTTATATAATCAGAATTTGATAATAATTATTAATAATACTTATAAAATAACTAAATATATTCTTATATAAGTTTATTCTTCACTTTCTTATAAAAACTACACTTCTCTGATATACTGTGATTAAAGATATTAAACTGTCTAATAATTTCATATTTTATAATTATAAGTTTCTTGATTATTTCTTCTTATAATTTTTCTTAGTAATAGTAATAAATATCTCAGCTTGAGTTAAACTTTCACTTCATTCTTATCTCTGTTAATGAAATTATTGAAATATCATATATTATCAGTGTAATAATTGAATATATACTCTTAATAATTTTCTATAACTCTAGAATTGATTTAGTATGTAAATTTATCAGATTAGCTTGAAGATAGCAGTTAAATTCAGTTTTATAAGTATATAGTTTTATCTGATTTTCAGTTGTAATTAATATATATAAGTTCTGTTTCACAGTTAGTATTATAGTTCTATATATTATAGAGTATTATCAAAGATTATTACTTACTAGAGAATTGTATTTCACTATCTTTATATCTCTAACATCTGCTCATTTAAATCTCTGATAGTTAATATTATAGTAGTCTCAGATTAATTTAATATACAAGTCTGATTCTTCTCTGTTCAATCTTGAGAAGTGTAGATATTAACTTAATAGAAGAGATCTAGTAGAGCTGCTATAGTATAGTACTCTATAAAAGATTGTTCAGTTTTACTGTAATAATATACTAGTTTATTTCTTACAGTAATTATAGTCTGCACTATAATATTATCTCAGACTGAATTTCTTTTTAAGTGATTTAACTACTTCTTAAGTTGAGTAAATAAACTGTTATACACTCATCAGCCTGACTGCAGTATTAATATATAAGTGATTAAGACTGTCTTTATTATCTTATAAAACTGAAACAGTAAATTAATCATATATTTCAACTGAGTTCAGTTTATATCAGAAGATTTCAATGTCTAAATCTTTTTTCAATTAGAGTATTACACTCAATAATTAATTATCTGATACAATTAAAAAGTCTGAATAGTTATCTTATATATTAAACTTCACTATATTTTAACATTCTGTATTATATTCAGTGATATAACTGATCTGTGTATTCATTAAATATCATGAAATTATTATTATTATTTAGAGAAGTGTAACGTGGCGGAATCAAAGTGATGGCTAGTTAACGGCGACACGTAGAGGTAGTTGTTTGAGAAGTTATATAAGTGAGCTTGACTATCTTACTTAAATAGCGAGCTCATAGACTACAGAGTTGTTGCAAGAATATCACAGATATGATACTTAGTATACTAAGAAGATTGTATAAGACA